AAAAAAAAATATCATTATCATTACAATATTAAAAGGTAGCAAATGGCTCACACGTTGTAACAAACCTTTTGGGTTATAGCACCACTAGGGGGGGTTGCCCAACTATTGTAGTATCTATGGGGGTCTCCTAGTGGGTGTGTGAGTTGTTAGCGGCAGCCATTCCATGCTGCTCATGTTCCATGCTCCAAGAAAACACCTTACTTACTGTTGTGACAAGCTGGCGCTGCGGTACAAATCCCCGCACATGTAGGTTCGGACGAGTACAGTCGAGGAGACCTGGCTTATAAAGTGTAATGTTGCTGACGGCGAATAAAGGTCTGTTATTGGATTTAACCGACTGGCTCCGTGTTATCCGGCTAACCTCCACACCACATGCCCGCTGGACCTGCTAGCCACTCCTTCCTCGCCAGACTGCTGTTACAATGTCTCAGTCTGGCACAAACTCATAAAATGTACAGTAGGCAGAATATTGATCTGTATCTGCACAGGGTTTCCTGGCTGAGTGAGATATGACGTACCCGTGAGGATGATGCGGTGTTTAGGATCCACAGAGGCAGAATCAAAACAAACTGAGGAGGATTATCAGGGTCACAGTTTGAACCACAGCTTTGGGCATTTCCACTGTACTGTGCACTTTATGCTAAACAATGACAAACAGTTCAGTACAGAATATTATATGTGGTCAGCGTGAACCACTCAGTGCAGCTAAAAGAAGCAGCACATGACGAGTTGATGAAAGGAAGTGTAACTGTGGGACGTCACCTCAGGGCCATGACAGGTGAAATCACACTGGGAGCAGTGCACATGTGAGCGTGCTATAACTGAACCCATTATCTGAGGAAACATGAGCTCCGTACAGCACCTGTGTTTGATTGGAGAGATGGGTAACGATGATAAGAACACATAAGCACAGGTGCAAAAGTCAGCCAATGCACAGCACACAGATCAACACCACTGGTGCGTGGGTATGTTCCTGAAAACATCTGAAGACAACAGAAATCAGTAATTAAGTTAGATGCTATTAAAGAACTGTTTTCACCTGCAACGGGACTGATTAACATAAATCCTTTCATGGTGGAAGAGAGTGGAGGAGAGAAAGAACAGCCAGTGTTTCTACTGTTTAAACCAGTAACTGTGATGGTGTAGTAAATACTACCAACAGGGATAAACCACAGAACGATTATATTCAATTCAATTTTATTTATATAGCGCCAAATCACAACAAAAGTCGCCTGAAGGCGCTTCATAGGTACAGAGAAAAACCCAACAATCATATGACCCCCTATGAGCATCACTTTGGTGACAGTGGGAAGGAGAAACTCCCTTTTAACAGGAAGAAACCTCCAGCAGAACCAGGCTCAGGGAGGGGCGGGGCCATCTGCTGTGATTGGCTGGAGTGAGAACCAGCAGGAGAGTTTTGGACTTCATCAATAAAAAACACTGTTCACTTCTTTTTGTGTTTTTCTTAGAAATGAATGGAGCTACACACACACTTCAAGGTGTGATCCAAGTTCTGTAACGTAAATGTCAGCTTCTGTGATTTCATTGAAAAAAGGATTGCAATAAGGAGCCTACCTCAATACCATCTCACCAAAAGATCACACCTGTCCTCTGCAGGCTCCCAATTCACTGCAGATTCCTCCTCTTTATTCTCAGAGCCCTGTGTTAATGGCATCCAGCCTTGGTGACTCATCCACTCATGTCCCTGCTACCTCACTTCTCACAAACACCGTCTGCACCAACAGGACGAATTACTGGGCCCGCTCCCCCGTGTGTCTGCAACACATCGTCACAGGCAGAGTCAGTACCCTGTGTGCCAGGCTGCAGAACATTTAAATGTCATTAATTACACATATACCAGGTCAGCCACCCTGCAAGGCTGTAGTGTTAATACTGTCCATCATCCAGTGTTTTCATGGCCAACTGAGAATCACCTCAAAGTCATTTATATTGCGCAGTAAACACCACAACGTTAGAGAGCAGGCTCCCACAATCAGATCAGCACTTTGTGCTGTCTGGAAGGAAGAACTCCTTTTTAACAGACGCTGCAGCGGCGGCCTGCAGTGGCGGCCTGCGTGATGGGTCGCGGGGTCAGGGTAAAGATGGGACATTTGCTTGAATTAGATATCACCTGCGTGTGTGTCAGTTCATTTCAGCTGCTGTATTTGTGCCTTTGTTTCATTTACTTTTGGCACATGTGTGTGATATGAATATGAGAAGCCAGAGTTGCATGGGTGCTAGCGTCTGTCTTTGAAGTCTGACGGTAACACTGTAATAGTTGAAATGTTGTTCAGTATTTGTGTCGTGTACAGAGGCTGTGTTTTAGGCAGGATCTATTATCCCAGTGAATAATCATATTGGAGAGCTCAGGTGTCCCTCTGCCTCTGCCTGGTTAGCTCCTGGGCATCCTGCTCAGTCTCATGATTTGATTTTCTCCTCTCTTCCACTTGGCATCAATTTGCATTACTACTGGCAAGGCCTCACAAGGGTATCAATACTGATTGCCAGCCATAAATACAATGTAATGTTTCAAAGAGACAGACTTTGAATGAGACATTAGCAATATTTATGCCACTGCTGATCCCATAAGCTCCTTATTTGGAGGTCACAAGAATGCTGAGTTATACATTATAATGAAACAAAAACTGAAGTGCTTGCCTCTAAAGTAGTGCTTTATTTGTCTGGCCCTGCAAAAACATTAAGACTGTTAATAAGAATGACCAGAAACATGACGAGTGACACGGAAGCAACGAAGTGCCCTGCGCTGATGTCAGTGTCACATGATGGTTGAACGTCACATTTCCTGGTGTGTTTTGCATGTGCACAGGTCCACTCCTGCAAACTGTCTCCTGTTGGTGCTGGGGTGTGAAGTTTACCTCCCAGGTGAGAATCATACTGTTGTTGTGTCACCTGTGGGGTCGGGAAGCCCTCCCTCCTGTCTAGGTGGCGTAGTTCAGCTGGCCTGATGTTACTGCTGTTTTGTGCTTGTTTGTGCTCGTTTAGTCTTTTTTGTTTTGTTCTTTGGTATTGTTTGGGTCAGCTGCATTCAGCGTTGCTGCTCTGCTGCTTGAGCAGCGACGTGTGCGACTAATAATTTAAGGTTAACTTTGCATTTGAGTCCGTCTCCCTCCTTCTTTGAATGTGTGTTTTTCAGAACAAGAAACTTCAACTTTTGAATTGTGGAACCACGTCTCAGCTTTAGTGGAGCAAACCTGTGCACCTTACTGGTACTTTTACTGATTTATTTATACAGCTTTTGGAAGAAACCACACCAGTGGATTTTACAGTAAACAAATAAATGTAAGGCATCAAATGATGTAAAAAGTATTTGATATTTAGCTTCCCATAGAGCTAAATATGATGCTCTGCAGGCACCAGATAACAGATTGTGGAGCCCCTGTGCAAACCAGGAGGGGCTCAACATTAGTGAAAGTTCATCTCAGCCAGATGCAGTGACAGATAGAATCAAGCTAATGGCAAAGACAATTACTAGCACGGATGAGAACTTCCTCCCTCCTCCTCAATCTCCTGCTACATTCCTTAAATATGAGTATACGAGTGTTTAATTAAGCAGCAATATTAATTAAGACTTGATGATATTAAGTATGGGTGAAGAGTTCTGAGGCTGGTTACAGTAAATGAGTTTAAGATGAATGTAAGGAGATTCGTATCCTGCACTGCATATTGCTTCTGAGCTTAATGGCACCAAGACTGAAGATATGAAAGAGCTGCTGGATGATGATGAGCCGTGTGCATTTGCACTGAGGTAATACAGCATTAATGACTGTGCAAGAAAGCGTTAGCGAGTAACTGTAGGTGGAGGTGGATATGAGAAGTGTACTACAAATGACAGAACAAATGACTCGGTCCAAGTACAAACCGACCCAAACAGGTTTGTTTGGGAAGAAGAAGAAGAACTTTGAGAAAGGCTGCCCTATATCCACTTACCTACATCCACTTTGTCTGTATTTGCTTAGCTATTAAACCCTGAGAGATGCTGGGTCAAATCTTGTTAAGTAAATGAAGCAAGTAAGCTAAATTCTTTTTTAAAGATGGAGTACTGTTTAATTTGCAGCTGAAAGGCTTTTCATTACTAAATTAAATGCTTGTATAAATATTCTAGTGCACTGAATGATAAATGATTTGTGCTCTGAGTTGCTTAATAGAGTTCTCTATCTTGCCTCTGCACATAATGATCCACCTAGCTCTGTACTGAAAAGACTCAAAAGCGCTGTACACAATTAACCTGGCAGCAAATAGAAACACTCTATTCTCTTTGTATTCAAGCACTACAGTGGTTTCAAAGAACCATATTTAATCTGATTGCTGACTTTCTTGTGAGCAATTAAATAGTATTTTCTGTGTGGCACTAGCTGATGAAACCACCTAGTGTGATTTAAGGTATTTCTCAACTGGATGATTACAACAAAATGAAACTCCATGCACCTGAAGGCTGGTAAAAAGCCACATACACACAATTCACAACGATGCAACACCAAAGACACTGATTCAGTAAAAAGGACTAGATGTTACAGTCCCTGATAAAGCATTGCTTTAGATGGAGAGACTCTTGAGGGATGGCTGTTATGAAGAAAGGCAGCCCCGAAACTTTGCCAGCAGCACACATCGTTGTGTGCCTCAACTTTCGGTCTTTTACCCAGGCTAATCTGCCATTTTCCTTCCTTGGTTAGGTTTAGGGATTAGAGATCTGATCTAAATTATCATTTTAAATTTGGGACACATCATCAGTAGTGGACCTTGGATTCATCGGGTGTTTCGGTCATTATCACTAGACACCCTCATCCAAGGAGGCCCTGCCAGGGTTGATCAGGCCCTGGAGTGTGTCACTGGTTTATGTTAAATTATTATTTCTCTTCTTTCTTCTGTTTAGTTTCCTACGGTTTATTTTCTCCTATCTATTCACTGCAACTGAGAAATAATACTTACCTCTTTAGCATTTATGGAGCCTCACTTCTTCAAAGGGATAGAAAAGGGGAACGAGAGAAGTAAGACAAAAGGGACAAGATAGCAGAGAGACGAGTCGGAAGGGGGGCGCCCGATCTGGCTTCTCACACCTCCCCGCCGGATCGGGCTGTGTGCTCTACCTCCCCACTGCCTCCCAGAAAAGGGAAGAAGAGCAGAGGGGAGAAGAGCAGAATATTTATTTTCTCTCGCGGTTAGCTGACTGCCTTAGCTGCCCAAGTGATGTCAGCCCTTTTTAATCATAGCCAGTGACTGGTCCTCTCAGCACTGTTAGCTAGTTCTCTTATAGCCTGCCGTTGCACCTGTCCTCTGATCCCAATCTCTCTGAGCAGTTTTGCTGTTGTACTGGCAACAAAGCCCCAGCACCTCACTTCCACCGGACGCACCTTGATCTTCCAACCTCTGTCCTCTGCCTCAGCTGCCAAGTTGGCATACCGCAGCTTCTTGCGCTCAAACGCCTCCTCAATTGCTTCCTCTCATGGTACCATCAGCCCAAAGATGTATGCAAGTTTTTGGGAGTTAGACCAAAGGACGAGATCTGGTCGCAAAGTTGTTGTTGTGATCTCTGTGGGAAAAATTAGCCTCTGATCCAAGTCCACTTGCATCTGCCAATCCCTGGCGACCTTCAGCTGGCCAAGGTCTGGGGTTGAGGGGCTTGTCTTCGGCTTGTCTCATTCCCGGACAAATGTTAATGAAAACTGATGCTCCTCTTGGTTCATGAAAGGTTGAGCGTTAATGGATTTTCTTTTGCACTCAACTTTCTCAGCTTGACACCCGAGAACCTGGTTGTGTCTCCATGTGTATCTGCCCTGAGTAAGGCTAGTCCTACAACCAACCAAGATGTGCTTGAGTGTTGCTGGGACTGTACACAGGGGGCAGGATGGGTCCTTTCCAAACCACAGCTGCAGATTTATTGGGGAAGGTCGGAGGTTCGACTCCACTGAACGGCTACCCTGAGGTACACCTGAGCAAGGTACCGTCCCTACACACTGCTCCCCGGGCGCTGCATTGGTGGCTGCCCACTGCTTCACTGGGTAAATGGGTTAAATACAGAGGAGTAATTTCCCTACGGGGATTAACACACACACACACACACACACTAATCGTATGTCGCTCGGATGATGAAACTTAGTCTATTAGACTCCATGCCCCAGATTTCACTCCATGAGTTTCCTCTTTTCCACACTCTCCCAATTCACCCAGCGACCCTGTTTGGCCAGCGCCACGGCTCTGGCATGTCTGGCTGTTTCCTCCTGACGACGCACCTCCTCCACCACCATTTTTCGACGTTCGGTTACAGATGCCTGTTGCCACCGAGGTGTTACTGCGAAAAGACCAAATGCTCCTCTGCCCTGTTGGTCGTGACCCACCATGTCACGATGCCCGAAGAGTGGATTTCGCCTGTAGCACAGATGTGGCTGGGGTCCACTTTCTCCCCGTTGCTAGGGTGGGAGCAGTGCCTCTCACTATGGGGTCCCGGGCGTCCGTGAGTAAACTCCTCAACCAGGCTAGGGATAGGCAATGACAGTATCCCGTCGCTGTAGAGTCCAACGCTGCTGAGGCATTTGGGAAGTCCGAGCCACTTCTTAACGTAGGAGCTCACTTGCCCTAGCTAGTCAGTCAGCCGAGACTGCGAGACAGGGCTGACCAACCTGTGCACTGCCTGGATTGATTACAAGAAGGCCTATGACTCAATGCCCCACAGCTGGATCCTGGAATGCCTAGAACTGTATAAGATCAACAGGACCCTGAGAGCCTTCATCAGGAACTCAATGGGGATGTGGCGTACAACACTAGAGGCCAACTCCAAGCCCATAGCACAAGTCACCATCAAGTGCGGGATCTACCAAGGAGATGCTCTGTCCCCACTGCTGTTCTGCATAGGCCTGAACCCTCAGTGAGATCATTAACAAGACTGGCTACGGATACCGACTACGGAACGGAGCAGTTGTCAGCCACCTCCTGTACATGGATGACATCAAGCTGTATGCCAAGAGTGAACGAGACATCGATTCACTGATCCACACCACCAGGATATACAGCAATGACATTGGAATGTCGTTCGGACTGGAGAAGTGTAGTCGGATGATAACAAAGAGAGGGAAGGTAGTCAGAACTGAGGGGATCGAACTACCAGAAGGCAACATTGCAGACATAGAGGACAGTTACAAGTACCTGGGGATCCCGCAGGCGAATGGGAACCATGAAGAGGCCGCTAGGAAAGCTGCAACCACCAAGTACCTGCAGAGGGTCAGGCAAGTCCTGAGGAGTCAGCTGAACGGTAAGAACAAGATCCGGGCTATCAACACCTACGCCCTGCCCGTGATCAGGTACCCAGCTGGTATAATAAGTTGGCCAAAGGAGGAGATAGAAGCCACTGACATAAAGACAAGAAAGTTCCTTACCATGCATGGAGGGTTTCACCCCAAGTCCAGCACCCTGAGGCTGTACGCTAAGCGGAAGAACAAAGCTGGACTGAAAGACAGCACAGAGGCACTAATCATGGCAGCACAAGAAAAAAGAAGATCTCATATTTGTTTCCAATTCTACTGAATCATCTGCTGGCCGGCAGAACGAATGGAATGGAATGGAATGGAAATCAGTGTGCTTAAAAGGTCATACTCAAACCGTTAACACAAGATTGCAGCTTTTACAAGTTAACTGGTCCATGCGAACTTATCTAACCCCTGTTAAGTTACATTCATTTGATAATAATATCCTGGATACATGTGTGAAATGTGGTATAGAAAAGGGAACTTTTTTCCACTGCTTATGGGAATGTGAGGAGATACCGAAGTTTAGGAGGGAGGTAACTTTAGCAATAAATACTATGTTAAATAGAACTCTAAATCCAGACCCCAAATTATTTATATTGGGACTTTGTTCACCATCTCCAACAATTCAAAGAGAAATAATGACCCTCATAAATATGTGCCTCTTGCTAAATGTCTAATTGCATTGTATTGGAGAAAAGTTGATAGACCAAAACTGGAGCATTGGTTACAGGACATGTCCTCATCTCTGGCTGTGGAAAAGATAACCTATATTTTGAAAGGGAAGAAGGAGCCGTTTGAAATTGTCTGGAAACCTTTTTTATTATACTTGGAAGGAGTGGACCTTTCACAAGTTTTGGTGGAATCCGGGGAACCTGGAGTCACATAACAGAGAGACATAACGGAGTGATATAACCGTGAGGGATATGGTGGAATGACACTTGGTATAGTCCATCTGTTTTTGTTGTTGTTGTTTTGTTTTTTGATTGTTTGTTTGTTTTTGTTTTTTAAACTTTTTTTTTTTCATATTCCTGTGTATGATTTATTTGATTTGTATTCTAAGTGTTATAAAAACTCAATAAACATATTGTTGCAGCTCAGCCTTTGAAACCATTGATCATCAGATATCTGCATCTGTCCAAAAATGGTTCACCTCATTTCTGGTGGATATAACATTTTTGTTTTCAGTGGGAAACTTTCGGTCACATGAAGCTGAATTTCCATGTGGTGTTCCACAAGGATCGGTTTTAAGCCTCTTGTTATTTTCATTATATGTTCTGCCTTTAGGCCGTATCATTAGCAGTTTCAAAATTATTTCATTACCATCAGCGTGCAGACGATATCCAATTATACATCTCATTTAAACTTTTTGAGTTAGACAAATTATGCATTCTAATGGATGGACTTAAGAAAATTAATGGTTGGATGACAAACAATTTTCTGCAGCTGAACGCAGACAAGCTTGAGTGTTTAATTCTTCCTCCAGAGAGTATCAAGCCCCAAATTAGACAACATCTGGGTTCTTTCTCATTGATGGTAAAAGCTCCTGCTCAGAATCTTGTGTTAGTTTTTGATCAATCTCTGTCTTTTGATGCTCATAAGAGCTTTACACCGTGATCTCTCACTGCTATGTGGGTATTTACCTCTTTCCAAAAAGGAAACACTAAGCAAAAGAGGAAACCACTGTCATGGTTCGGATTTTGAGGAAGAGACTACGACTGGGATATAGTTTGGGTCAGCATAGATCATTTATTAAAACACACATTACAGTGTGGGAAGAGCCGGACTTCTTCTTCGTTTGCACAAAGACAGAAAGCTTTATAGTCATTATGACGTCACACAGTTAGACCTTACTGGCAATG